GAACGTTGGTGTGGAGAGTTTATTGGATGGCTCGATCATACATCAGAGCACGTCGTCACTGAATGAGTACAAAACGGCTGTGATCGATGTGCAAGGAATGACGTGTCATTCGTGTGTAAATAATATCCAGGATAATATACGATCCAAGGACGGTATCAAATCGATCGTCGTTTCACTGCAAAACTGTGAAGGTATGTATATCAACTCATAAAATAATAGTGCAATCGAGCGCATTCGATTTCATGCGTTCACTGTTCTATCAATCTGAAGATAAAAGCACATGCAATATGAGTGTTTGTCGCATAATAGACGTCTTGATAATGACGTTTTCATTCTGAAATATTTCAGCAACAGTTGAATTCAATGCATCGAAACTGAATGGTGAGAGTGTCGCTGAAATGATCGGTGATATGGGATACGATACGAAGTTGAAATTCGTTAAAGGTAAGCAGCATCAACACTATGAAATCGGCTTTATATCGATATGAAGCATTTATTTGCCATCGTAATTGTATTGCATTCAGTTGTTTGTGCAAGTATATGCGGAATTTAACGGGCAACTGAATAATATTTTAGATAATTTGGTGTCAGCTGAAAGCGATAATCCGAAGTATCGCGAAGCCATAATCGACATTCAAGGAATGACTTGTCATTCATGCGTTAATAACATCCAAGATAATATGAGTTCCAAAGATGGTATCCAGTCTATTGTTGTTTCGCTGAAAGATTGCGAAGGTGTGTGATTATACCTGCGGGACGAGTTTAAATTTCAGCTCTGAGATAGGCTGAAGGATACTCAATTGAATCATAAACGAGAAATTTTAGACAGTTGCATGAATTTACTTTTTTGCTGATTTGTGGGGTTGAGAGAGGGGACATTTGGTGTTCAGTTTTGACACATTTGGCCATGAAGCAAATATGGTAATATGTATGGAGAGCCATCTGTTTTCTGATTCGATTCCTCGAGACCATGTTCACGATTCGAGGAGTATTCATCGCATTGACCAACTTTGGCTGTATCACGAATTTCATGGAAAAAAATCCTAATATAACGGACCTAAACAGATTATCAGTTTTGTTCACGAAAATTTGAAGCAATGATCATAATAAGCATAAGAGACGAATCCATTGAAAACTCAGTTAGTTTATTCATCGAGAAACTCTACAGGTCGAGTGATATTCGATACAGCTAAGTGGACTGGTGAGAAGATCGCGCTGGCAATCGAAGATATGGGCTACGATACTTCTTTAAAATCCATCACAGGCATTCATTCTCATTCTATTTAGATATTGATGATAGAATTTTTGAAGCTGCAGTGGTGGGATTGAAGTTTGACTTGCATCTTATCTTACCTGTCCTCGTTGTTTCGAACTCTTGCATAGGTTTCAAATTCAGATAAATTTACATTCAGAGTGAATGGGTGTGCATAACCACTTTCGAAGTGACAGATGTCAGTCACATGGAAAACTCATCAGGTTTGTTGCAGATGTAGCACCGTTAATACCCGCTCTGCAAGAGAATAAAAGCGATGAACCACCAAGGAACAAATTATCGTCAATCCTTCGTTCACATTCCTCCACAAAAGAAGATGACAAGAAACAGTTGATAATGAATTTCGATGATAAAAGCGTTCGAATGAGTCGAAAGAATACGAAATTCAAGCAAGGGCTGGAGAAGTGTACATTATCGGTGGAGGGTATGACGTGTGCGTCNTATTTTCAGTTACATTGAGTAACGAGTAGTGATTAGGAAATGATTAATTTTCACCTTTTGTGAGCGTTAGTGTTTAGGAAAGCAAACTGGAAGGAATCCTCACTCATGTTCACCATTCAAATACCACATTATTTGCCTTGTTTAGGTGTGATTTTCGAGAAAGTTTCCATTCTGTGGGCTTGTTTTGATAGTGATGTGGGTGGATTGTTTTTAGAATAGTGGAATAAATCACAGTGAATACAGAATTCAGTAAGTTTTGTACCAATTCAAACATCAACAATAATTTGGATTCGTTCACGAAAATACAAAATTTTAGGAGTGCAGTCAATAGTGGTGGCGCTAATGTCATCGAAAGCAGATGTGACATATGATGCGAGTTTGATAAGTGCTCAGCAACTGGCCGATGAAATAAGTAATCTCGGCTATCGATCGACCGTCATCGATACCGGCTCAACCAATCACAGCAAATTGAATCTTACGGTGTGTTTCTATACTTCCGTTTCATTTATTCATAAGTTATTTTTTCGAAGAAACTCCAATGATTTTTTTTTGGGTTTATAAATTTCAACATTGAAAAAGTTCACAAAATTCGCAACGTTTATAACAACAACAATAACAACATCATCATAAGAAACGAAATCGAATCCATTGTGAGTGGTTGATAAAAGGACTGAAAACTGAATATGAGAATAAAGTGGAACGTTGAAGATCGTTGGAATGTCATCGTCAATCTGCGCATCACGCATAGAATCGCATGTGATCTCAAGGAAAGGTGTCGAGTCATGCACGGTGTCGTTGCCGACGTCGACTGCGTACATCGAATACACGCCTGCTTTTATTGGACCGCGAGACATCA